CACACACACACACACACACACACACACACACACACATTTTTAATTCTAATGGTTGCAGGTAGTAAAATCACTGGTTTAGGTATGACTGCCTGAAGGAGGCTAGTTTCAAACTCTTTCCTCTGAAATGGCCAAAAAGCATTCACCAAAGTCCAGAACCACCTAAACATTCTCCAATATTAGAATGATTAAGATTATGACCCCAATGTGGTACAATCTAGTCACTAAAAATAATTTCAATGAGTATATAGTAATATGAAAAGTTTCATACCATACCTAGTTAATTATTAAGAAGACATTAAAACCAAAGTGTTTATCTATATCATGATCACAATATTAAAATTAATTCATTTAAAAACAATTTTTCCCATGTACCCATTCTGAAATAGTTACTTGAGGATACATACACACTTCAAGAGAGAAAGAGTAAGAAAAGGGAAGGAGGAAAGCAATATAAGACAGAAAAAGACAGGAAATCCAGAAATAGTAAAATTGATCTAGTTAACTGCAAATTATCCAGAAAATAAATTTGAACAGGAAATTAAAGGGCTCTGTGAAGAGATACACTGAGGAGGAAATTTCATTTAAATATTGTATGATTAAAAACCAGTATGACTTAAAACTGTGACGAAGGCATATTATGCCTTGTGTAAACAGGAAAATAGATCATTGGAATGACAGGAAAAAGAAAAATGTATGTGAAGATCGTGATCACTTGATCTTAGAAAATCTAAGCCACTATAAACAGAAATAATAAAATAATAATCAATATTCATTGGCTGTTTATTATGTGCCAGGCACTATGTTGTAAATGTTACCTTTCTTATCTCATTTTATCCTCATAGGAACCCTTTGAGGTGACTACTTATTATCCTTATCCTTACAGATGAGCAAACTAAAGCAGAATTTAACAATGTGCCTCAGGGTTACAGAACCAAAAAGTGCTGCTGAAATAAAGAAAAATTACTAACATGTTTGTATTTGTGTACATAGAAAATACAGAAGTTCCTACCACAAACTATTAAAACCAATAAGGAGCTCAACAACTATGCTGGGTATAGATTGATATATTAAAAAGATTAATAGCCTTTCTATCCATGAGCCTCAAACATTAGGAAAAAAATATATACTAATGAATTCTATTCAAAATTGCAATAAAATGAAGAGACAAGAATAAATCTAAAAAAAATATGTAAAATATTCAAAAAGAGTTCAACTGTCCATCAATTAATTAACAACTTCAATGCTACTCCAAATCAAAAACCCCAAAGGATTTTTGTGGAGACAAAGGGAAACTTAATAAGCAGATTCATAAAACGCAAAACCACAGGGCCAAAATATTTAATACAATTAAAAAAAAGTTTAACGTTTATTTATTATTGAGAGACAGACACAGAGAGTAAGCAGGGGAGGGGCAGAGAGAGGGGGAGACCCAGGCGCCACTATTGAAAGAAGCATAAAAAATGGGGGCCTTGCCCTACTGAGTAGTTATAAGCGACATATATGTAAACTATAGTTTATAAGAGTATATAGAGTAAGCATTTTAAATAGTGCATTCACACAAAGCTACAGTATTCAGAAAAGTATGGTAGTAATGCAGGGGAAGAGAAATAGATTGTGGAATAGAATAGAGAGAAAGAAGTATATCTGTCCATATTTAGTTTCTGTTCTTCTTGTATTGATACAAGGAAAAAAAAAGTAGAGCTAAATATCCCCATTAGATTATAAACTCACATGTGCAACATTTATGTCTCTCCCAATGTCCCAATGTCCAGAACGGTGCTCTGCCCAGAGGAGGCACTGAATTTCACTGGCTGAAGGAAACTAATGGCATTCCCAGCTGTCTTATTATTCCTTGGAAGCAAGGCTACCAGGCTTCAAAAGTCCACAAAAAGGCTTACCCAGGCATGGTGAACAATGTTGTCAGGATCATTCATAGTAAAGGGAACTCAAGTCCACCACAAATCCCTTAATGTAGTCATTTATGTTGATTTCCCAAATTCTTCTTTGAGTGATGTTGCTTTTTGCTAGCATTCTGTGTCTGATTTATTTATTGAATGCATCATGCAATATATATTTGTTGAATAAATACATAAAAGAATGAAATAAATATGCATACTGTTTTTAAAGACTGAAAAACAAGTACCTGTATACTGTTTCATACTTATATCTAAACACAGAAACAAATAATTTAGCATATTAAAAATATAAAGTAAAAATAAAACCTCAAACCTTTCAATTACTTCTATGTCAAAGCAGAATCGTTTGTCAATTGAATCTGTCTTCCGTCGGATACAAGATTTCAATTTAAACATTTCTGGTGAACCAGTAACGAGGCCATTCTGAAACAAGAAGAGGAACACATTATTGACGTGATGACAAGGGCAACTGAAAAATATTAAATATGCCATCTAAGGTTGCTTCCATTAAAATGTTAATTTTTAAAAAAAGTTAACTTAAAGGTTATATATAAAGGTCATAATCACATCCTGTCCTCTGAATACAGACTTTTTGCCTAATGTTAACTGCTCAATTATAATACAAACTGTTTTTTAATAAATTAATCACATATATTCATATTACTTAAATAATTTTGTGGCATGCCTGTCTAGTGGTCTTAAATACTTAAACTTATGTTAAATAGCTCTACAATGTACATTGTTTAGGACTTCAGATTTACAGAAGGTGTTATATCACAGTTACCTTAATGTCACAATTAGATATACAGAATGCTTGTCAGGATACAACACTGTTGCTCTGAATCAAATGCCCAAGGTTGCTAAGAGATTAGTATTGTTTATCTGTGTGTGTGTGTGGGAGGGGGCACACACGTGAGCAAGTATGTGTGCACGTGTGTGTGTGTGTGTGTGTGTGTGTGTGTGTATTAAAGTCTTATAGTATTAAATGATAATTGGTTCAAAGTCTCAGGAGAGCTACCAAAATAATACATTTCTAGTATTTGCTTGCTATAAATGTATGGCTTTCATACACAACACATGACTGCTCTGCTGATAACCAACTGCTATTCTACTAGTGAAACCACAACTGTTTGGATAAGATCCAACACAAGCTGAAGCTGTAAGAATTCTCTTCTATATACCTGAGACACCAGTCACCTTAAGGGGAATGTTTACCTAATGTCTGGTTAATTCTACTATCTTTGGTTACAAAGATCATAGATTTATTTATTAGCAGAAGTTTGGCTTGGTCTACTTGTTAACAGCTCACTGACTGTCACATAAGCGGGCTTTCAGGCAATATCTTTTCTTATGAAACCTTTAAAGTACAAACTAGCATGATTACAGCACTTAACTTCTCATGATGGCAGGAATTGAAGGTTACTTTTGCTCTGGTATGTTCTCCTTTATAGTCTGTCTCTCCATTTGAATTATTAGACTCTATTGAATGCCCAAGCACAATAAGTTTCAGCTGATGTATTTGAGTATATACCTAAGTTAGATCAACATTTACCTCTGCTATGATCTATACCACAAATTAGCCAGGTGAGTCACTTACCTCGATTTTCTAATCTTTCAAAATAAGGCTAGACTAAATAATCTTTAGGATAACTCTCAGCTCTAGGATTCTTAGATGATATGGCTTTAAATTATCTAATTCTTAAGTCCAGTCACTTGCCATATTCATACCATAACTCAAAAAGATTGTAACCTCTACACAATAAAGGTGCTGCACTCTGTAGCAGTAGCACTTCCTTATATAAAGTACACTTTGTTCTATATTGTTCACTAGCCATGCGAGACATTCAGTGACCAATTTACTTTTGGGGTAAATGGGCATCAATTGATTCTTCTGAGAAAGTTTGCTGGCCAGCATTTCAGTAAACAGCACACAGTTTAGAAGAGGAAGCAGCATGCAGGGGCAAAAGGCAGCCTCCCACAGAGGCCACCTGGAGGAAAGATGCAGAGTCCTTGAGCCTGGTCCAGCCACCGACAGTCTCTACTGGGCTGCCAGCTACAAACAACTCTGCTGCCAGGGATATGGGAGGACACCTCTGTGGTCTCCTGAAGGATCCCTACATTGAACTCCACTCTTATAAACATTCCATGAGGAGATAAAGGAAAATCCTGGCCACTCTTTCAAGTCATCAAGATCACTGAACTTTGAGAAGACTTTTTTTGACTTTTTGATTTTTAAAAATTGTTTACATGTTTATTAGAAAAGCAAGCAAATGTGATTTTTTTTTTTGCTTTGTTTCCATTACTTAACTAATAAACTCAGTTTTTTAAAAAAAGAAAACTCACCATTTTCCCACTGGATTTCATTTCTGAAACACTCATTGTAAATGTTTTACTTCCCTTATCATATGTACAATAATGTTTAATCCATGTAAAACCAAGCGGCCCTGATGTAAGGAAACAAACATTACAGATTGTTAATAAATGATTTATGTCTAAGTTTGTACAGTTTTTGAGGCTATGATACACAACTGAGTATCTCCATAGGCCATGAAAGTTTAGAATATTTACTGTGAGAAAGGCCAGTGTTGGGGAAGAGTGGTATGGGGTAAAGTGTCTTGGAATCAAACGTGGCTTTACTTGCAGCACTGATACTCTTTTGTAGCTCAAGAGTTACATTACCTCTGAATTTCAGTTATCTCAGTAAAAGTGACATATCTTACATTCCAAAGAGGTAGGAACAATGAGAAAGAGCCTGAGTTACTATAACTGATATCCTTACTTATATCCTTGTCCTTTACTCTCAAAACTGCCAGAAACTCCACTAAAACTTTAGCCAGGTCATTTCATCCACTTTGCTTATAACCCTCCAGTGGTTTCCCACTTCACTCCAGGTAAAAACCAAACAGCTGGGGTGCCCAGGTGGCTTAGCAGGTTAAGCATTCAACTTCAGCTCAGTCATGATCTCACAGTTTGTGAGTTCAAGCTTTGCGTCAGGCTCTGTGTTGACAGCTGAGAGCCTGGAGCCTGCTTGGGATTCTCTGTCTCCCTCTCTCTCTGCCCCTTCCCCGCTCATGCTCTGTCTCTCTCTCTCTGTCTTTCTCTCAAAAATAAACATTAAAAGTATGAATAGTTCAAAAAGGACTTAAAAAACAAAAGACGAAGAACCTATTACTATACACAATGGCCCTACATGTTCTGGCCCCTCATTACTGATCTGTCCTCGCATCTTAGTACCTTCTGCCTTATATACTCTGCTCTAGGTATACTGCCCCTCTCCCTTGCTGATTATTGAACAGAGAGAATGCATTTCTACCCCACGGCATTTGTACACCCTGTTCTTCTTCCAGCCTGAACTACTTTTCCTTCAGTTATCTGCATGGTTTGCATTGTTACTTTCTTCACATCTTTTCCTAAATGACACCTTTATAATACAGCCTTTCCTGCAGAGATATCTAACATCTCAACACTCTTACCTTGATATTTCTTATATCTCTCTAGCTTTATTTTCTTCTTGGCATTTATCACTATCTAAAACATGATAAGTTTTATGAATTTATTCTATTTATTGTTTGTTTCTGCCACTAGACTATAAAGCTCTATACAGCAGGAACATGTGTTGTTCTGCTCACTAGTTAGTATATTCTTTTCTTTTTTCTTTTTCTTTTCTTTTTTTTTT